CACCGTGTGCCGACCTCTGCACCGTGTGCCGACCTCTGCACTGCGTCACACCCTGACCTCTGCACTGTGTGCTGACCTCTGCACTGTGTGCTGACCTCTGCACTGTGTGCTGACCTCTGCACTGTGTGCTGACCTCTGCACTGTGTGCTGACCTCTGCACTGTGTGCTGACCTCTGCACTGTGTGCTGACCTCTGCACTGTGTGCTGACCTCTGCACTGTGTACTCTGCACTGTGTGCTGACCTCTGCACTGCCTTACATACTGACCGCTGACCTCTGCATTGCCTTACATACTGACCTCTGCACTGTGTACTGACCTCTGCACTGCGTCACACCCTGACCTCTGCACTGCGTCACACCCTGACCTCTGCACTGTGTACTGACCTCTGCACTGTGTACTGACCTCTGCACTGCGTCACACCCTGACCTCTGCACTGCGTCACACCCTGACCTCTGCACTGTGTACTGACCTCTGCACTGCGTCACACCCTGACCTCTGCACTGCGTCACGTACTGACCTCTGCACTGTGTACTGACCTCTGCACTGTGTACTGACCTCTGCACTGTGTACTGACCTCTGCACTGTGTACTGACCTCTGCACTGTGTACTGACCTCTGCACTGCGTCACACCCTGACCTCTGCACTGCGCGCTGACCTCTGCACTGTGCGTCACACCGCTGACCGGGCGGAGTTAAGGCCGGGGGAGGGGTTAGGTGGGGCAACTGGTGGCGAGTAACTTTTAAGGCCTGGCTAGTAGCTTAGGACCGTACACGCCTCCCTCTGGCACCGTACACGCCTCCCTCCGGCACCGTACACGCCTCCCTACCAGCATGCTCCTCTCGGTGTCCACCTCCATGACACATTGGAGGGCGGTCTTCTCGCTGGGCGGCATCTCCCGTGTCAGGTGATAGATGTCGATGTGTTCCGGTATCGGCACCTCCCGCTTACCCACCGCTGCCAGGAGCATGGACTTCCCTATAGAGAAAAGGGGGAGAGGTCAGA